AAGCATACCCCAACCCACAGCATGGTCGAAAAAGGAATGTTTAACTTAGAAAGAACGATTAATGTTATAATCAAAAGTTTTGTTAACAACACAATGCACTCTGTCTCGCCAGTAAATTCAAGTTGATGCCTCCAACAGTTTTTGAGATAATTATGAGTTTAACAAAATCTAAGTATGAAAAAAAAGCAGAGAAAAATCAACAACAAAGGGGACTTTCTAAAATGTAGCTATGATAGCAAGAAGTATGTTTCTTTCTGCCTCGCCAAGCTATATGAACATGCAAAGTTTGATTTCGATACCTTTCTTTTAAGTTTTAAAATTTACAATGGGCATATACTGAAAATTATGAAAGTCAGAATTATGAATTCATGATTTTTCACACTTTTCTCTGTCTCACCATGACCTGTATATCGATACAAGATTTGTACCATATTGGAGGTATGGACAATATGATATAAACGTGGCGGGACGTGACACTGTGTGTTTCCAATAAAGCGTCCACAATAAGTGGTGGGGTTAAAACTTGGAAATTATCGAGCGTCTGAAACAAGTGTGAAATGGTAAGGCTCGTATTCCAAAAATGTATGAATATTTCCATAGACAATAACGAAGAAAACCAAAGCACTAGTGTTTGGACATTTTGCATTTGCTTAACTGTACTACTTTCCACTCGGAACAAACGCTGTTTTGCCATGAAACCTCTTAGTCTTCTAAACTGTCTCCTATGTATTGCTGATGCTCTTGCAACTGCTTTGTAGTTGAAACCATTCGACAGCACGTCCTTAATTCCTACAGGTAGCTTTACTAGAATTTAAATGAAAACATTAAAAGTATGTGTTATCTCAATTGAAATGAAATACATATATATACAAAATGAAATACAAAAAAATTCCTTAATACATAACTGTATACAAAAGTTTATATACAAATAAAATGTACTTTGTACTTGGTATGTGACCTAAGCTAATTATTGATATTGAACAAGTGAATAAAGTTTCAATATTATATCATAACTGGTTTATGGGACCCTATTTCATAAACCATCTGACAAAACATTTTAGCTTTAAAATGGGCATAAGTATGTCAAATTGTGCGCCACTAATACGAAACTTGGTCATTGATCTTAGATGTCAACACTTAATATGTGTTCCAAGTTTCAAAGGAATCGCTAAAATAGTGTTTGAGAAACCATTTTTCATGAAAATTCTAAACCATGAATTCAAAATCGAAAAATTTGAATTTGATAACAATGCAATTCAGAGATTTCTAACTTAGAGCGTGTTCTAAACAAGTGTGTGAAGTTTCAAAGTTGTATGATTTATTGTTTTTGAAATACCATGTTTCATGAAAACTTCTTAACCACAAATTTCTTTGTCAAAATAAGGCCTATAATTTGTCTATATTCAATATTAGATGGACGAAGAATAAACTACGGATGAAAACCGATTGTAACTGCAGCAAACAACAATGCGAGACTGGTTTAGATTTAAAACTGGAACCCATATAAAAAATAAAGCGTTTGATTCATGTTGTATGCCAATTTGAGATTATATATCCCTGTTCCGGAAATCAAAATAAAAAATGGGTACCCAATGCAATGCAATGCAATGCAATGCAATGCAAGCAAGGTATTTTCTTTTCTTAATCAATTTAAAAGGCTTATGTAAGAATAACATTCTGTGCTTGCATTTGAGCCAACATATTTTGTTTTTTAAATAAGTCTCCAGGAAACTTAGGTAAATGAACTTACCTCGTCTGAATCGTTGTCATATTCTACCATATTTTCCTTGGAAATTATAATTATAATGGCAAGCACGTGGGAAATAACAAAATCCATAAGTCAAAAATCAAAAGTCATAAATCAAAAGTCATAAATCAAAAGTCATAAGAAAATAGTAAAATAAATCTATAAGTCGAAACTCAAAAGTGACCCTCCAAAGCTTCCATAAGAAACAGTTTAAGAATCGTGTTATATTAAAAAACGCCTTTATTAGCATATAAAAAGAAATGAGTCACTTAAAAGTAGTACTTAATTGTAGCAAACACATTTTGTCAATGTTAAAATCTACTCAAAGGAAAGCTGAAATTAAATCTCAAAATATAGAACCCGATGCATGAAAGAATTATTTCAAAGGTTAACTAAGGAAGTATAATCTTCCAGGATTTTGAGATTGAGTTAACCGAAGAACAAAATGCCATTTTGAATTCGGAGATAACTACAGGTGTAAGTTTAAAAAGTGTAAATAATTTATAAATTGAGAAATCCAAAGGAAAAGACGGCTTTGCGGCATAATTTTATAAATCTTCATCCAACATCATTACACCTATTTTATCGATTATTTCCTCCGCGCCCACAGCGCGGAGCTATTTGTGTTTACTATTTTTTGTCCATGGGCTCGGATTTGAGCAATAAATCCTTTCCATGAACAGCTAAAAGTAAATCCACATTCAAGTATTCCTTTCGATTTCTATATTGGTTTTCCCGTCGGTGATTCGCAGCATGTCATATTAATGAATGAGAACCGGAAAGAAGTTCTGCTGTTACATAAATTCGAAAGCTATAAATAGCTATAAATGTTTTGATTTTTGACACTTAAGTTATTAATTTGTTATTTCCCTTTTTAGTAGTACATGAAATTATAATTTGTTACATTTTGAAATACATTTACACACAGCATATCAAGTATACTATCAGTGATTGAATTTGTCAATATAAAGAAGATTTCAGGCAAAAGATTTTAACAATTTTGCTTTTGATAATTATTTTTAATTTATATTTATGAAACTAAATGTTTAATAATAACATGTTGATATATTGGTTGTTTTGAAATAATTAAACTTTAGTATATAAGGTTACATTTCATTAGCGTCATTGGTACAGCATACCACTTTGTGATAATGGTATGACTGGTGACATGTTCGGGGGTCCATACTCGACAGCGAAAGCTGCATTTTGTAGCCTTCCGAGCGGATGGACCCTCATTAAGGTGATTCTGCTTTGTCAGCCAAGTTAGTTATGCAAAGTGAAAGTAGGATAAAATTCATATAACAACAAAGCTCTTTTTGTAAAATAATGAACCATTTGAAAATATATATGCATTATATAATGAGTTATCTCGCTTCCTACGAACAATAGGTTATCGAGGCATTTTCGTTACGAATCAAATTAACCGGCAAAAATGAACCAATGAACGAACATCTGAATATGACATTTCTGTCGCTTTCCCTTTCTCTGCCGTCACAATGTGTAAACCCCAGCAAAAAGGAGCCAATCAATGGGCATGCTCTGGAGTGCGGGTAACAAATACCCCACTCCAGTTAACGCACTGTGCATGTATATGTATACGATTTAAACCTGACACATTTTCAACAGAAAGGTCTCCAAACTACAACTTCTGTTACTGAAACAGAAAACAGAACAGTAATGTCACATAACATTTATAAGTCTTGTTTGTATTCAATGGAATTACTTTCCTTACCAGGTAGGCATCAGCGAAAGCATTTTTATATTAAATATGTTTCCCCTTTTTTAATTATGGACAGTGCATAAGATAAGTATAAATATGCAAAAATGGTTTACAAAACCTTCGGAAAAAATCTACAAAAGTTCTTAATCTGAATATAACATGACCTGTGCGTAGGAATAATTTGGTAAGGTATCTGTAATTAGCACATTTTTTTGCGCGGAGCTTCTCAATTGCTGCATTGCAGCAACATTTGTACTTGTTAGACTTACGATTTTCCTTATATTTGGAGAGACAGTATTATTCTGTTTATAAGTCTCAATTAGAAACTCTAAATTATGACCACCAAATTATAGGGGTATATCGTTGGTAAATGTAATGTATAAAATATTCTCAATTATTATTTACAATAGATTATTTACATAAGCTGTTATTTTCAATCTTTATATAATGAGTTATCTCGCTTCCTACGAACAAAAGGTTATCGAGGCATTTTCGTTACGAATCAAATTCACGATATGATATGTATTCATTTTGCAAATGACGTTGTAAATTGCGCCGAAACAGCATGAAGAAATTGTTGTACAACAAAATATTAAGTTTAATCATTTAAATGTTCATACTAATAACTAAGAACTATATCATTTTTTGACGACTATTCAAATGAAACAGCTTTTCTAATAATTTCTGAATACTAATTGACAATGCGCACCTTTTAGGCCAATCTAACTAAACATCTTACAGGTGGAATGTTTAAAGTCAGCATATCATAAAATCAACAGGCAACAGGGTGTAGAAACATCACCAATCCTAATATTGCAATACTTAAGGAGGGTAAAATTTTCCCCAAACAGCATACTTTATGTCTAACAAGAAGGTTTATTTTAAGCATGAAAAATCAGCATATCAAATAATCAATAGGAAATGTGGGTGGGTGTAGAAACTTCAGCAATCCCTATATTTCATGTCTTAAAGGAGGGTAAAATTACCACTAATCAGCATATTTGATGTTTAACAAAAAGTTTTCTTTTCTTAACAATGATTTTCAAATTATCAACATGCAATAAAAAATAGAAACTACACATATTCCATTACAATTCATTTTTGTTAACGTATGATAACATCTTCACCAATCAATATATTTCAAACGTAACAGAAGAGTCGAATTTGACCAGTTAAAATTTCATATCTGAGAAGAAGGTTGACACTTGATATAACAGCATATTGTCTTCCATAAGGTTTGAAACTCAATTATTAGCACGTCAAATTAAACCTTTAACCTAGAAATTATAATATATGAAACTTGTATTTACAATAATTTCATAGTTACCCAACTAAAATTTACAGCTTAATTTACAATATGAAAGAAATTTGAATGTCCATATTTTAAATGATCACAGACCATATGCCAGAGATAAATGATAAGTATACGATTGATTTTGTAGACGAACCACCACTTCATGGACACATTTCCCATTTTAAATACATACATTATTGAGTCAAGTCTTAGAATCAATTTAATCTAAATGCACGAACCTGGCAATGACTGTAAATCAGCCTCTTTTGATGTAATTCTTTCCGACGTCACGTCATCGTTCACTTTGAAATAAAAAGCATTTTACTCAATTGAAACAGAAACGTAACTCAGGCAAATAAAAAGACCAACAAAAGGATAGAGGCATGACTAATCAGTATATTCTTCGTCGTACAGAAGAATTTAACTTGACAAATCAACATATTAAATTTTAACAGAAGCATAGAGACTTGGATTACCATTTTATTTTTACCATACATTAAGAAAAAGACTTGAGCTATCAATATATGATAAAAATCGAATAAACAGCATATACTTCATCTGACAGCAAGATAACGCAAATTAAATATATAAGAAAAAAAGATATTTACTTGAACTTTTACTACATTCTTCTCTTAACAAAAGGATAAAGACTTAACCAATGAACAATTTTTATATCTTACACAATGTTTGTACAAACAACAAAAGAAATATGTAACAGGTGAGATGAGACTTGACCAATTGCTTTATACTTCGTCTAAAAGGAGGATAGAGACTTTACCAATAATCATATTTAATGTCTAAAGGAAGAATGGGAATATGAACAATCAGCATAATTAATGCCTTATTAAAAAGGGGATTACCGAAGTTTAACTTGTCAGCATGTTTATGTAAAATGAAAGGTAGAAATTCGCCAATCAGAAGATTAAAAATTAATATATTTGTCTGTATATAATGGATTTCTGTAATAGCATATATTAGTATGTTGATGGACAATGTGCTTATTGCAAACAATATATTTTTAATGGCTTACAGATTTCTTTTACAAATATTTGTTCCATTAATTAACAACAGGAGAATGAAGATCTCCAATTTTTATATTTCATAATGTATAACGTACAGTCAGCATTTCGCACATGTTACAGGAAAGTTGATTTTGAACATTTGGAATATAAGAAAGAAAGTTGAGGAGAAGTAGAAAATTTATGTAATTGTCTTCTATTAAAATTGGAATTGAATGATTAGCAATTCATATTAAACCCTAAACCTAGATATTATTATATGTGTTCCTGTTGTTTTTATTTCGATAATTATATAATTTTTATATTTTATATAACTTTCAAATTTTCAAGCAAAATTTCACAATATGAAATAATGTTTTTATTAATAAAACATGATAGAAAGTAATATTCAGAACCTGATTCTTCTAAGGCCTCCAGCATAGCACCGACATTCATAGATGCTTTGAGAGTAATTTCCCTGCCACAATAACGTGAAAGTGAGCCAGCAACCTTCGTCAAGCTGTCCGAGAATTGAGTTCCCTTGAATGTTTGTAGCATTTGAGGTAAGGCATCATCAGATTGTAATTCAAAATTCAGCAACAGAGATTTCGTTTCTTTGTGAACATCACGTGACGTCATTGCCATTGCCTTGTTTTCGTGGATATTTTCTTCAGATGATATTTCAAAAACATGTCGTTGTTCTTCCTTTTCATTTGAGAGAGTTTCTTTATAAATAAAGAGGTTGATTAATAAGCACATTTTGCAAAAGCAACTTCTTCGTACGTTCTGTGCAGCAGTTAACATGTAATCGTACAATCAAAAATGAAATACATTGCATAGTGTAAGTACATATTGACAAGGCAAAGAAACATGTTAACGTCCACAAAATCAATATACACGAGTAGGTCTATTACAACAATTAATGTTTTAATATTATTGCACAAAAAAGCTAGGATGTTTTTTTTAAATAATATAAAATGTAAACTTCAATGATATAGTTATCAACATTTATTTAAACTTGCATTTTATCTTTCTTCGTCTACGTCATAAATATAGAAAACAAACAGAACGAATAAGATAAAATTTATTACTGTAAGCTTTCATCATGTACTTACTTATAATGTCAATCAATATCGATTGCAAACTTTCTGATGTAACTTGGGATGTGATAGCTATCGGATATCTTGGCTTAAAGAAGCTATGAAGGGAATTTGATAAGTCATTTAAATAACTTGTGTATTCCTGACATTCTACTTTCTTCAGAAAATGTAAGAAGCTTTCATAGTCCTTGCACTCAAAATACAGAATGATGCATTTCATGTTACATCCTTTGAATATAACATCTATATTGCTCTCAATATAGCTAAGCATTCTCTTAACATTTTCTTCAATTTCTTGAAATCCACCATCTTCACTTGCCATGCTTCCAGCATGATTGAATATTTTCTCAAGAGTGTGTTCACAAAGACTTATCCAGTTTGCAGAAGGACCACCGATAACCAATTCTGTTTCCACACCAACTGTATATATAATAACAAAAGTAACATTTCTATGAATTCATAAGTTTCATGAGCTTAAGATGTCAGTTAGAACTGACATTGAAAGACTTTTAGTGTTCACGCCGTTTGTACCTACTCCAGCGGAATTCTGCTTACAAGGATATGTTTGGTATCCTTTCATTAATACATGGATATGATCTAAAAATAAACATAAACCTTCAAAAGTCTGCTATTTTACAAATATATATCAGTAATTGAACTGAGAATATTTTAACCGTCAGGCGTATTTGCTTTGCCCCCAACATCTCAGCGAGTTTAAAATGGTTACATTTGCCATTTCTATCAAAGCTAGTCACTCCCTAACAGTGTATAATCATGTCGTAGCTAATATTCCGTAATATCGGGAGAATTTATTGTAAAAAACAAACAGGTTGTATACAAATTCAGTTTACACACCTTTAAACTTCTTTTGACATAACTGGCTAAATCCATTCAATGTCGGTAAAGATGGTCTTACGGCTGCAATAAGGACATAATATAAAACTTATCACTATATCGAAAATAAATTTAACATTTTCAACTTAAAACTTAAAAATCTTATCTTGATTTAACAGCTTGGAAGTAAAGAAATTAACTTGATGTGTGGAAGAGGTTTTCCTATTAAAATAGTGAATGTCTTTCCTATATACAACTACTACTGTAAAATGTTTTGTTAAAGTCATTTATTTAATGAACGTTTCATTTGAAAAAATAAATTAAAGAAGAGAAATATGTTGTAACATAATAGAATTAAACCTAGCCCTACAAGGCACATTTCGCCTTTTGACCTTGTATAACTCCTGTTGCCTTTTATCTGTTTGAACATTTTTTTAAATTAGGTTCTAATTCGCTAAGGATAGTTGAAAATTGGTGAATATCAAAAATGTACAGATAATAAAGTATACGTTATTTTCGATCAAAATAAAGAAAAATATAAACACATGCTATTAAAGTGGTAAGTATATTATGAGGAAAATAAATGAAAGGTTAAAGTATTTTTAAAGGTTATACTACCTTCTAATGGCCCGGTAGTAAACTGTTTGATGTAGTTTGAACAATGCTGTTGTACTGAAATATCAAACGTTGACGCTAATGTTGTAATGTTGTCAATTAATTCTTCCACTACTTCTTCATATTTGCTTATATGTAGAGCTGCAGAAGTGCTGTGCATAAAAGTGTCGTTTCTCATATATTTTAACGCTCTTAGCTTGTCCTTTTCTACCGATTTGAGGCTTCTCCCAAACACAGTTATCAAAACACCAACTACCAGTTGCAAGTCCCAACAGTTGACGTCAGCTGTACCAAAATCTGGAAACAATTTTTGGTATTGCTTGTCGTGAAACAAATGTTTCAGATTCGGTTCTTTAATTTTGAGTAATTCATCCAGGCCATTTTCAGACTTTTGACATTCTCGACCTAAAATTTCTTTTGAAATATATGAGCCACCTTCGATTAATAATAGAAAAGAACGTAAAAAGTATATGTTTTCTTTAGAAGCCATTAAACCTCCGATACTCTTACATTGCTGTATCTTCGTAATTGTTCTGAAAGGAAAAGCAACACTAAAGTTGAATTCTTATCAATAAATTTTATCTCCATCACTGGATAAATACATAAATATAGTTATATATATTATATCGTTGTAATTAATCTGAAAAAAGCATTAAAAACGTTGCATTTTGATTAATAAAACTTATCTTTTTCACTTGATAACTACATAGAAAGAGTCTTTAAAAATTAAATAATTTTGAGAAACACTTTTACCTTGTATTTATAATTATTGAATCTGTAATCTGCAATAAACATTAAAAGTATACAACGATAGAGGTATACGTTAATATGCGATATTACGAATATGCCAAAAACAGTCGTTTACATTTAGATTTGTGAATATTCAATTGTTAGGTATGATTTTATCAATAAAAATATATATTTAAATTTTGGGATTAAATGCTTTTGATTGACAGTTTAACAAACGCCATTGATTACCGTTGCGTTTATAATCAGTCGTTTTAATAGATACTTTGAAGAGATAAATCTTTTCAAACGACATATGATAAACGCTACGGTACAGCAAACAAGAACTATTGAAAATCTTTTTTGAAGCCTTACAGCAAATAAGTTCAGTAATTTAAGAAGGACGAGACACTCCTTATTTATTTATTAGTCTAAGTATTTAGATGGATTTCTTTATATTTGAATTTAGCCACTTTTATATTTTATAAGAAAAGAAGTTAATTTGGCTACTTTACAGACGATGCTTATATGACTTTGAGTAAGACGTATGATTAATTGAGAGATGACACGATTTATTTTGCTAGTCGTCAATAAAAATGCAAGTACATAAAAAGATTCATATACATCAGCTTTACACTTCGGGACCGATTTTAAATTTCAATATATTGAGTTGTTGCTAGATTTTTTTGGATTTTTTCAAATGGAAATACAATGTTTCTTGTCTCTGTATACAAGTATTTGACTGTAAAAATGTCTGATTTCATGTAAGGTAGTTAACCGAGACTTAATATCGTGGAACTAGTCTAAAATTAAATCATGCGTAAACAAGTTGTCTCCAACTAAAGGGGAACTGTTTAACCTTGAAAAAAAAACGCATCGGTATAACAGTTGTTGCATTGCATTGTCATAAGAATCTAAATTGCGTTTATCTTTCCATTTGTTTACCTTTAGAAACTAGAAAACAAGTTCGTTTTGAAACATATAATATATACTCATTATATAGCATTATATAAACAGTTAGTTTATGCTCAAATTTACGGCTTTATTGTCGATCTTGCTATGTTTTTTTAGGTTTATATATCGGGTTTAATAATTTGATAACCAAGGCGTTGCGATAAACCTTTATGAGCGTGTCAGCACTGTCTTTATATAAATAAGACTCCTGGCACAGTTATTGGTTATTATTACTTGTCATGTCACATTATAAAACGAATAATAATATGGAATAAAGTGAATTTCCGTGTCGTAACGTTCCCCTTTAATTTAAATTTTCATTCGTAGAGGTAGCATTTTATTCGGCACGGGGCATAATGTAAACATTTTACGCATGCGTAAAACCTCGCTTGTTTCTATAGATACTTATGAAACAAAAACAACCATTTTACTTACAAGTTATATTTGAACCGAATTCGCCTAGAAAATGATCGCCCTCGATTTTAATACACTTCATTCCTTATTCAAAGATATTTGAATATTTTGAATTTCTAAATATTAGAGAAGTTTAAAGTGCTTTATTGAAGTTTAATTTAGGAATGCGCCAGTCGTTACTCTGTAATATATAAAACCTGTCATTTGGGCTTTAATTCCGTGTGGTATGAATACGTACATACGTAATACAAAATAAAGAGAAAAGTGAAGTTGAAATGAATAACAAGGGTCCTATGACGAAAATGAATTTAATCTCTTTTTATGTTTTATCATGAATTAGGTTGAGATTTTTTCTATTAATTCGTTATCCTATAATTAGATTAATCTGTTGAAGTATTGGCAAACTATAAAATCACAAATGTCAAATAATAAGTTACTCGTATTTCTTAAAACTTATGCCACCGTAATTACAACTGGTTAAGTACTGTATGCTCTTAACGAATTTTAATAATAAATTTATAAAAGCAAAAGTGCATCGATTATGTACGAAAGTAAAAAATGAATCGCTGTCTATCACAATGCCCCCCTTCATTTATATTGTTTGTTTTACTCATCAAAAGTGGTTTCGTATTGTTATATTGTAATTAAAACACGAAAGATAATTAAATTTTGTTTGGCTGGCTTACTAGCATGAACAATTTCAGCAAACTGACAATATTAAACGTGTTAAACTTGTCGTATTCCAGATAGGTGAGAGAATTCTTTTCTGCAGTGGAAATATACAGCTAATTTATACTTTAACTCAGAACATATTGCATCTACCTTTGCGTCTGGACAAATAAGATAACGCCCAATAGTTTTAAATTTGCTTTTTAACGTCTTCTTTAAAGTTGAAACGTTTTCCACAAATCGCTCCACGTAGAATATCCATTACCCCTGGCGGTCCTCCAAATTTATCTACCAACTGTTTTATCTTTGTGTTAAAAGTACCAAAAAAGGAGAATGGAAATCGTAGGAAGTATTAATCCCAGTCGAGCTAAAATCCATACAGATTGCAGACCAAGCCACATGCAAATCATGCCAGTCTTATCCTTAATGAAACCGTTTCCTTGCCATCCTTTTTTGTCTTTTCATCCATTTTTAGTTTAATAATATCACCATCACCTTTTGTTAAGAATATATGTATCGCTTCAAACTGTGAAAAATCTAATCACCCATCATCTTTGAGGCACAACTCAATGGTTTCTAAAATCGCCTGCTGTAATGGAGAATCACCATTTCCAATTCAATCATTTATGCCTCTCTGAAACTCGATCATTGCCTCTTCTTGTTTGTTTCTTTGTTCACTTCTTCCTCCATCGGCGGACATGCCCCAAAAGCAATCCATATCCTCCTTCGCGAATTTAATCGCCCCCATGTTAACGTTTTTTAACTTAATAAAGTATTCCAAGCTTTTAAGTGGGTACGCTCGTACTTCCTTTACACAATCTATCAATAACTGGAAATCGGAAGTCTCAAAATCAAGGAAAATGTTACTGCTAGATATAAAATAGTGCGAGAGCTTCTTCACGCGTATTTTTTCAAGAAAAAAAGCCAAAGCGAAGTCTGTAAGCTTCTGAACAGACCTACGTATCTTCCCCTTTGTTTTGTTCATAGGGCCGGAACAGGAGTGTTTTGATGTGATAAGTTGTAAGCTTCAATTCTTTGTCTTGTTCTATATGTCTGTTGCCAAAAACACCTTTTAAAATGCCTTTAGTATTAAATACACTCTTCTTTCCACAGATGACATTGCTATCATTAATCGACAAGCAAAAATCTTTATCAGGATTTGAACTTTTTGGACAGACTCGAGATACGACAAAAATTTCTGTGTCACAAATATCATTTACCTTCTTCTTGTCCAAGCCATTGTCAAGAACTCGTTTTTTCCATAGTCTCATTTCCTCCAACTCTCCTGTAATATCTAAAGCTGGAACCAAATCTTTGTGACTTCTCTCTGTGTATGTTGCATTAAACGATGTGTCCTTATTACTAGCTATATCTATCATGTTCGAGCTTTTATGATCAGTGTCATTGTCATGACTTGTCCGGAAATTGTTTATTTTATCGGAAGGTGTTTTGGGTAATGCATTACTTTGTCTGGCTAAAATTTCTTCAACGAGTTGCACAAAGAAAGCTATTCCTCCGTTATTTTTCTTTCTGTCAGAAGGTATGGCAAGTTTCGATGCTTCATACAACCGTCTATAAATCTTTTTCTGGCATTCTCAAACTGTTAGTTGTTTCCATCTATCTTCAAGCAGTTTTTCTTTTTCATTTGCTCTTTCAATATTTTCGTTATTTGGAAAACACTCTTTTAAATCTTCAATATTTTCTTCGAACGTTAATGACCTATATGTCGTTGTTTGTAAGCCAACCTTTGAGGAAACAGATAGAATAGTCCTTTCCGTATCTGTTTCTGGTAATTTGTTCACAGTAGCAGTGACATGCAAATAAATCGCTCTTAACATGGTAAATAACTCTCGTCGTACTTCTCGCAGAGTGTTAGCAGAGATATGTTCATCCTCAACAACCTCGAGGCCAATATCTCTGCTACATGAGTCTGCACGAATCCAAACAAAGCATGGGGCTTTACGATATGAGACCAAGTTTTCAGCCGGAATTTCCAGCTTTCCAGAAACCATTAAGAAGTCAGCATCGCCATATTCTTTTGAAAAAAAAAGTTTTGATCGCTCGCTCGTACTTCCTACAAGATACACTCTTTCTCTTCCGAACTTACTAATGAAGCACTTGATATAGTTAACATATCTTTCATATCTTATATCATTCTTACTTGGCTTAGTACGTTCTTCCAGTTCTGCTATAAACTCTTCAAACAAATCTTCATCAGTGACCAACATTGGCATTTTATATTTCTGGAAGATGAATATAAATGAGTGTGTGTTTCCCAGCAGTATATTCATTAATTCTGTGACAATTTCAATGGGTGGACATCAGAGACTTTTTACACTTATATCTGTATTATATTATATATCACAACAAAAATGCAATGACAATTGCTTTTGATAAAAAAATAAATGTTAACATAAACATGATGTGACTATAAAGGCAATTTAATTAATAATTTTTTTCTTTCTTAATGAGAGAACCAATCTGTTAATAACATTCGTTATCGCAATTTGTTATAGCTTTTAAATTCCTATTGTTTTTGAAAGGGTTTAAATGTAATGCTTGAATGTTTAGAATTTGTATCGTAGGTGAGAATTTGATGTCTGTCAGAAATATGATACTTTAGCTTTTTAAAATAATAATTAATTTTGAAGACACATATGTACGATGTTCCTTTACTTTTATGTTATATGTACATAGGTATTTCTTATTTATAGTCTTATTTATGAACACAAAAAGATACATCTTACACTATACTGTAACATATCTGTTATAACTTATGGCTGTAAATTACATAATAATATATGTTATTAGTACATATCGATTGAACTGAAATGAAACAAGCAAACCTAATATTGATCAATTAGAATCTACATTTTAAGAGCAGACATTTATAAACGATATTATCTAAAGGACATTCTACAGGACATGTACATGGACAGAATTTATACTTTCGGAACTTTACAAGCGCAAAAAACAACAAAAGGAGTTGTCGCGTCTTATCACTATAACGCATATCATTCCAGACTGAAACGAGAAACTCTTTATCCGTGATTTGTTTGTTTACTGTTTTAGTTATTTTTATTTCAAAATAAGAACATTTCTGTACTTTGTCCCTTTGACTTACGTTGTTCTGGTGATAAGTATCAAACATGCTATAAAATCACTATTTAAATGTTATAAAATTAATAATTGCCTGTTTCCAACGAAGTAACAATTTATTCATTTCTGAGGCATAATGTGCTTTTAAAGATGATGTTGAATCGATTTGCATTTTTTTGTTTGAGAGCGAAACACTATATTTTATTTGTTTTTTAATATTTTTTAATCATTGTTTTCTAAATATTATTTAATTTCGCTACATTTATTATTCAAAACACGGAAAATGGTGTCATCCATTTTGTAAATGTTATCATTATTGCTAATTAGACTGTGAAATTTGGAATACGCTTCATAACTTTAGATTCTTTGAAGAAATTTAAGGAAAATGTTGGTCTTGATCAGAAATGATACTCTTTATCTTCAGTAGCCCAAATATCTCCAATATTTTTTTAAAAATGGAACCTTTCACAGCGATCATATTTTTGGCGCATTTCTAATAAAAGGTTCATGAATCTTACGGAAAGGAAAAACTGTATTTTATAATATCATTATTATGGATTACACGCGCTTCAAATACCTATTACGAGAAGAAATAAAGGTTGAATATGAAATAGGAATAAGTAAGTTTTACGCGAAAAAATAAAAATAAATAACAGTCATATGTAAGTAGGTCCGTCCGTCAATGTGCCGCATCAAACATTGTTCGACCAAAAAATAGAGAAATCTTAAGCGAACAGTACTAAGGGGAGGCTGTCATGACCTGTTTATGACTTCTAATGATTTTAAACTGAACAAGTTAGTTGTCAAAGTCACTCCAACCTTGACCATTACAATCTTGTCATTAATCATATCTTAAAGAAAGTTCTGGTCTTTGGTGGAATGGAAGTACGTAATGACATTTAGAAGACCAAGATTGAACTGAAGGCCAGTAGGTCAAACGTCATGGTGACATTACCACCAAACGCTAGCCTACATACGACTTCGGATATGGTAGGGTGATAAAACGACTAAATTGCTAGTAAAGGGAACAATGGTTTATACATGTTGCACAAATGTCTTTTTTTTATTGATGTCTAGTCGAACAGTTGATACACATTTATTACCGTTGTCCACTGTTTGTCCACTCTACCTCAATGAGATCATACTGACCTAATATCTTATTTATCTCTTTATACATGAATATCTACAAATGAGCGTGTGTTTGGTTTGGTTAATCCCATCACAAAGAACTAACCAGATGGGAGAGTATAAATTACATTTATATCTTGATTACATTAACCTTTTACCCCATGAGCATATTGCGAAAAATGGCCTTTTTCATTGAAAAGCCTCCTGTAACAAGTTCAAACTGCTATGAATCTATGAAAAA